TATTATCCATTGCGCAGGTGGTGAGTGGACTGTTACAGGACACTAGTTATATGGTCCTAGGTGATCGATATGACCTATACATCTCATATAGAGTGAAAGCTCCTCCAGTGACTTTCCACATATTGTCTGTTTCACTACAGGATGGGGACATCATGGTGCTTTTCATAGGAAACAGGATATATCACGTGTATCTCAACAGGCAGAAGATCTATTGGGATTTGTCTTGTTTTCCTTACAGAAAGTGGTGTGTAGTCCACATACAGTGGTGAAGAAACCATTTCAAGCAGTGCTCTGCTATTTGCATCTATCCTTCCATCCTGGTAACAAATGGGGCTTATTCTCATTTAAGAGCCCTAGGAAACAGTCGCTTATATTACAGATGAATGGGCCCCAACCATATGTGCCGGCATAGGAATGTACTGCATTTTATATATGACATTCATTTTTTGTCTCATATAGGCCTAGAGGCATGCCTCTCTTTTTGACGCATACTGTGCTTGCTGCATTGCATACATGTGATATTTTATATCTATAGTATAATTTTTTGAAACTCCCTGCTTGGGATATAACCATTTTGGTAGTAGCATATGTCTACATATTTACAACATGTTATATGGTATACCTATGGTATAATTTTTGCATACACCTCCTGTGGGAAGTGTTCACCTATGCGCCAGTGCTACAAAGACTTTAGACTCTAGTAGTCACTGTCTTTGTTGCACATGTATTTAGACCGGTTTTGGTGTCATTTTAAATGGTTTTAGGTCTGTGTGTATTGTCTCATACTGAGGTGATGGTAAACCAGGGCGATTGCCCAAATGTCAAATTTGTATATGTAATAAAGCATAATTTTTGGAAATTTTTCTGAGTATCACATTCTGTTTATAATGTAGCCACTTTCTCTGTGAATTTCTTTTCACAACCCCCCCCTTTTTTTGCATCTCATGGGGCCCCCTACTGACTCCGGGCCCTTGGGCAGTGCCCGAGTTTCCAAATGGTCAGTCCACCCCTGGGTGGGAAAGACTGCTATCTGAGGCTCAGTTAGTGAGATTTCTTCTCAGTCACATACTGTAGGTATACTGTACATACAGCAATAAAAAGCTCACAAGGGATCTAGCCTTCCCCTACTCTACTTTAGAGCCTCGTTCACACCATATGTGCAGAAAAATTGATGGAAACTGCCACGCAGATTTCACTTGCAGAGACATCAGTTTTCATCAGTTTTCATGCGCGCTCCAATTAGTTATATACACTTTGCAGATTCCTACAGAGAAAAAATCTGCAGGTGATATTAGTTTAGTGGTGTGAACAGGGCACATAGAGAACAATTGTTTTCTTTGTGCCCTTGCAGAATGCATGCACAAAAACTGACGTCTCTGCATCAGGGTGTGAACAAGCCCTTAAAATGGCTGTATCACTATCTTTGTTTCTGTTGGGAGATCTTCCCCTTACTTCCAGTCTGGTAGAAACCATTGTCACCAGGACGGCCACAGATAGCAGTTATACTCAACAAGGGTCTTAACCCTTTCCCACTCTATTCAGAACCATTAAAACATTTTTGGCTGGATATACACTTTAAGATATCTTATGTTTTAAATACACTTACAGTTTGTTAATTTTTTACTGTACAAGAAATAAGCTCTTTGTTTGTACCTTATTCTTCAATAGACTGAAACTGTTATATTGTTCTTATCCTTGGTAATGGTGTTGAAGTAGAAAACACCGTAAATATTCAACTCCATGTTAACTAATGATATTAGTAGAACACTGGATATGTGAGAATAGTATATGAACTTCTATTTTTATGTATTACAGATATGTATATAGCGCTTTACATATACATTGTGCATTTGCATCAGTCCCTAACCCTCAAGGGGCATACAATCTAAGGTCCCTAACTCACATTCATACATACACAAACTAGGCCAGTTTAGACAGAATCCAATTAACCTACCAGCATGTATTTGGAGTGTTAAATAAGTACTATGTAGCAAATGTCATGAAGATGTTTTGTTTAATATTGTTTAATAAAATATAATTATGGGCTTTAAAATACTTTGTTTTATAGACTCCCCTATAAATACATTCACAAATTGTATAACTCTTCCCATGTCCCTTCCATAGTCCCATACCTAAGCTAAATCCATACCCCTAGGTGCATACTTCATCCCCTGCAGGTACATACGTACCTCCTTCAACAGGGGGGGTCTCTGTATTGTTTACATCCTGGCAGATTAAAAACTAGTGCTGGGCAGCCAGTGCAATTATATCCTATAGATTTGAATAGGATGTACTCATACTGCTGGAGCAATGTCCTTTAAGGTCTATGTAATGTTGTTAGGTAGCTCAGCACTAGATTTTACTGGTCTCGCTATAAACAAGGGAAGCTGCCATCATTGAAGTGGGTATGTATGCCTCTAGGGGTCGGAACTGATCAGCTTAGTGTGGCCTATGTAGCTATGGAAGGGGGCTGGCTTATATTATTTGTGAACTTGTCCTTTAATATTTGGTTGGTTTAGCACAAAAAAATTAACCTGATCTGAGATCCTTCCTACTTTTACATACAATTCTTTTCTTTTTTATGTATACTCTGACACTCTCCAAGGGAAAATGCATAAAAATTAAATCCCTGATCTTGCATACAAAATTCAAATCACTAGAAATGCACTTCATAGCTTGACTGCTGGAATGAAGGTAGCTTGGCAGGGTAGGATTTTTGACATTTGCTGATTATAAATAATTTTTTCCTCTAAGCATTTGGTTTCCTCTTGTGTGCTCAACACATTTGCTCATCTTAAACAAGATATGAGCTGTTATTTAGACTAGTTTACATTGAAAGATCACTTGAGCATAACTGACAATGACCTTTTTTAAATATAAATGACAAGCGCAGCTTTTACATTATGCTAAAATTGGTAATATAATTTAGTCAGGCTTGTTATTTTATGTGTTTTTATACATTTACCAGCAATTAAATAAATGCTAACTGAAGGTGTTGGAAGTCATGAAAGTAAATAACGTGAGCATAATTTGTTGAACTAGATGCCCTTTTACTTTCTATTATAAGAAATTATACCTCCTTCAAAAGTCAATATTTTTAAAAGTTGAGGTAAGGTTCAATGTAGAAGATACATATGGAGATTTAGTAAATGCTTCTATATCAAGCTATTAGAGGCTACTTAGACCCTAACAAATTCAGAAACAACAAGATCTGTCCCCTTTCAGAGCTCTATAAGAAGCATAAATTGTTTTGATGGGCCTAAGAACACTAATGATGCATTATGACCATAAAGTGATATCAGGAATATCATCAATAAACATGTTGTGCCAGCAAAGACAAAGTGGGGGGGGGGGGGGGGGGGAGTCCATAAACTTCAGCTAATGAAGTGGGGCAAACAGAAGTCTGTAACAGCATAGAATCAATATGCAAGAGGCCTTATCATTCTCAAAAGTTGAATGGGATATGAAGCCCTGTGCATTATAACATATCAGGTCAGGTATTTCCACATACAGTATATTTGAATGTTTGCTATGGCTTGTCTCACAGAATTCATATTTCATTTTAGCTGTTAATACAACCAAACCTTAAATCAGGATATGTGTACAAAGCACATCAGGGCTGTGTCACTGCACTTTTGGGCTTGACATCAGTTGTAGACACTTCTGAGATCATTCAGAACTCATTGCAGGTGCATTTGACCTGTAGTTGACTTCCTTCTGGCCAACTTCAAGTAGGTTTTGCCTTCCAATTAATTTATATGTAAATGCAAAACCGATTTAAAGCAAAGAAAAGCCTTTCAACACAAGCCATTATAGAGAACTATAGAAATTATTTTCGTGGATGTTTCACAACAACTGCATGAAATTTACTAACACAGCACAGCATTTCAAAGCAACCAGTGTATTTCAGCAACTCAAACCAGCCAGTTAAAAGCTGATTTCAAATGAGATGCTATGAGCTATTACACATAAAAGCCATTTTCTAAAATCAATCACCAATTTTTTTAGTATTGCATGCATAGATATAGTGAGCTGTGACTTGTACAGCTCACCAACTATGCACCTTATTAACATAAGTCAGATACAAACTGTCCATCTCACTAATGTTGATATTAGGCACACTCCATATCTCAATAAGAGAAACAAACAAACATGATGACTAAGAATACACAGGGGTCTACTAATCAAAATTTCCCCTAAGATTCACACACATTTAAGCCAAGATTTACACATTTTGTCAAAGGAATCATTAATGAAAACATGAATCTTCAGCGAAAGTTGTATGAACCTTGGGGTGAAAGCATTGATAAACAGACTCCATATTGTTGGCTGAACCAGTAAGTGTAATGAGCACTACAATAACATAAGGAACATCAAGCAGACATTCACAGTGGTAGTGAGAGAGCTGTGAACCCACATATAAAGGTAAGAAATCTGCATATATTTTAGAATGTTATATGTAACAGTTATGAAGTAAGTGGGAAACAGGATTTAATTTACAAAATTACAATGTATATTACTTAAAAGGAAAGAGAAATGTTTAATAATTTGAGTATATTTTAGTGGGGGCTTTTAAAAGAACTCTGTATGATGTTGATGAGAATTACCATATATAAGGGTATAAGATAAATGGAAACATAAATAACTTTTTAAAAAAGCAAAAAACAATGTTATATCCCAAAAGGAGGATGTGAAAGATGAAGGACACTACTGTCTGACACAATGTTAGAGCATAATGGAAATACTAACATATACCACTTTTAAAGTTTAACAGTGTGGAATTGCTATTCTGTAGCTTATATTAACTTCCCAGCATTGTTTCAGTTATAACGTTAATGCTTTTGTCCTTAATCTACAATACTTTATAGTTAATATCTATAACTTTCAAAAACTCAGCCTATGATCTATTCCCATAAGTACTAATTACAAGATATATGTATAGATAATCAAAATGCTCTATTCCCACCCCTTTTAATCTAATATTTTCCCAATTCTTACCGAGCCGCCACCACTGGAGATTTCTTGCCGGGGTCCATTCCCGGAATTGATGGCTCCTCACCCAGTGACCGCGTATCCTTGTTTAGCAGCTGAAGTCGGGAACTGATCTCTCCAATTACAGACGGCTTTTCTATTTCAACAGGTCCCCCATGGGAAAGGGGCCGACTCTCCACTGGATCTCCCCATAGCTTAGATCTTCTCTGAAAGAGGTAGCGCGGACGGCCCGCTGCAAGTTGCTGCTGGGCAATGAGCTCACTGTCTGAGGACTGCTTGAGCAGGGGGTCCCTGAAGGTCACGGTGCCCTTCATCAGTTGAGACTTGAGTTTGGGCTTTGGAGGCACTGGTGGCTTCTCGAGTATAAAAGTTTGACCGTCTGCGTACGAGGTGTAGGTGTCAGTGGGCTCCCCACTCTCTGAGGATAGAGTGGACATGCTGGACACAGTTGAGATGGTGCTCGTGGTCTCCAGATGGTGGTCACTCGAGCTTCTGGTGTCCACTTCTTCCACACCTGAGTCAGTAGCTGACTCTGGATGGGGCAGTGGGGCATCAGAAGGCTTCCCTGAGGGTGGTACACTACTAGTTTGCTTGGCAGATGGCACAGCCAAAGTACCAGGCCGAGTCAATTGGCTGATAGGGGTGCCAGGTTTGGTGACAAGGACTCCATTGGCAAAAGCATCAGGAGGAGGCAATAGTCCAATTTTTGCTAATTCTTCTCTTGTTTCCTCATCACTAGAGGACAGCATGGCTGGTGGCAAATTGGCCCCAAATGGTTCAACTTCCTCCTCTGAGCTTCCCTGCCCAAGTGTTTTATCTGAAGAAGAGCTTGAGGGGGCCTTCTCTTCAGTATCTTGGGGATGTGTAGCTTCTTGCTGGTCAGTAGTAGCTGGTGGCTCCTGTTCTTTATCTTCGGTTCCATTGCTGGTAGCATGCACCATTATAAGCCCTGCTGTCTTCTGCTGAGAGGTGTCAACTATACTTAAAATCATAGGCTTTCTTTCCTCTGTTTTGCTTTGTAGTCGTTCTGGACTCCTCTCTACACGAGTTTCCACATCCCTTCTTAGTGGGGTGCCCCAATGGCCCTTTACTGGTGCCCCTGAAGGGCTGTATATGGGTGATGCTGATCCTTCTAATTCCATTCCCATCTCCCCCTCTTTGGTTTGAATTTCCAGAAAGAGTGGAGGAGCTCTGTCTGAATCTGGACTCCTTACCGGAGTAGGTGTCCTTGGAGGAGGGGGAGATGGTGCCTGGGCAGAAAGCGCACGTTCCCTTGCGGCCAGCGCAAGTGCAAGAGGAGAGTTGGGATCAAGGGGCTTACCAGTTAAGGGGTGAATGAATGTAGAATGAGGACTACTGTACATTAGTGACTTCAGTGAAGAGCCTGGAGATGGCAGGAGGACATCCCGACTCCCCAGTAACCGCTCATCAACTGAGCGTGAAGGTTGTAGGGAGGGAAGATCTGGGGAAGGTGGTGTTCCCTCCAATGCTCCGACCGAAAGGAAGACTGTGGATTTACGCTTCTCATCCAGCCGTCGCTCACGATCCTTCATTACTCCTGCGAGTGCTGTTGCAAAAGGACTACCAAGAGGATCGTGGTGTGCAGTTCCTAATTCCATCATGCTTTGTCGTGGGCTGCGTCGTGATGGTGAGGGATCACGGGAATAACCCCCAGCCATGGCTAATGCAGCTCGCTCCTGGGCATCTTCCACTTGGAGCTGTTTCACAAGTGGACTTTTTTTGCGTTGAGGCTTCATTGGTGCAAACAGACCCATATTAGCATAAGGATTATCCACAGGCCGGCTTCTACGTTTTAATTTTTCTGGAGGGGTAGGTGATGGGCCAGGCCGAGAAATAATTGTTGGTTCCACAGGGAGGTGAGATGTATCTTGAAGAATAATCATGGAACGAGCACGCTTTTGGCGATCAGGAGTAGGAAGGGCACGATCCATACTTAAGAGCTCTGCAGATCCCATTCCATGCTGAAGGCCATGAAGCCTGGCTTCATAACCTGGTTTAAAACTAGAATGCACGGTATCATACCCTCTACCTGGGGGTGGTGGTGGAGAGAAAGCGGGTGGTGGTCCTGTGTCAAAGTAATATGGGGATGGAGGTGGGGGAGCAGTTTTTTGTGTGGAGGTGGTGGTATTATTGGACCTTCCCTTAAAGAATCCTGCATGGAGGTACTACGTGGAAAACGCCCATCAAGGAATGAATCTGACAGCTTTTCATCTTCACCTAATGAGAGAAAAATAGTTAAAACCTTTCCACAGTTGTAAGCAACTGTTAATTTCTATGTATCAATGGAGTTGCTTTCCAAATGCAGCTCATGCAAGATAATGATTTTTATTTAAAAGACAAACCGAGCAATGTGCAAAAATGCAAAAGGCATAAAAACATTCTTGTCCCAAGTTCACGAACACTGAAATTGTATAAGTTATGGTTACTTTACCCCACCCCTTGTTCTTTGAATAGATTTATGTAATAATATAAAAAAGAAACCAAGGTGCTAAACAGTCTCAACTACTGATAGCAGAAAATGTCCCAAAAGGACCTGCTGCTATGAGATCCTACTTGAGGACAGAAGCAAACAATAAGGCCTCATGCACACAGGACATTTTAAAAACGCTCCTCCTCTTGGCAGCAGCATTTTGTTAGTAAAAAATGCCTGACGCTTGTAAAAGTGTCTAATGCTTTTACAAGCGCTTAGGCGAGTTTACAGGCATCAAGCTCTTGGACTTTAATTCATTTCATTGGCCAGAATAATATTTTATCCTGGCCACTGAAATGAATTAGTGCTCAAGTGCTACATGCACCTAGCGTTAAAGCGTGTTTAGGAGAGTTTAGACCTGTTTTACATGTGTCAAGCATTTTTCTGTCAAAATGCTTGCTCCTTGACAAACTGTCAAGGGGTTTTTTACAGCTCCTAAAAAAAATTGTGCATAAGGCCTTAAGGATACAAGAACACAGCACAAGGACTTTGTGGGTAATGTCAGAAATTATAGCCTCAATTGTTCATTATGGGATTATTTAATAATATAAAAATGTACTGTATATGTTCTTTTTGTTTATATATCTCAGAGTTAAAAAAGAACCCAAAAAACAAGGAAATATAAAATTTAAAAAAATAAAATAAATTTTGTTATATACTGTTGTCTGTTAATTTGCTGTAGAAATTTCCCTATTTTCTTTTTCAGATGACACAACAGGAAGTAAAGAAAGAACACCAACAGTGACACAGACAGTAACAAAAACCTTTAACATAAAGACTGGCTTTATTCTTTCCTCAACTAATAAAGGTTTTTTTACTGCTGTCTGTGACCCTGTTGGAGACATTCTCCTCACTTCCCCTTACAGTGGAACAACAAGGAACTGGGGAAAATCATTACAACAAGGAAACAGACAGCAATAAAACCTGTCAGAGGTTCTAGCTCTTCTCCACTCTATGCTAAACCAAAAGAAAACGTTTTGGCTGAAGTTTACTTACTATAGCAGACCACAAATACAGAAGAAATACTAGTTTTTGCAGCAGAACATAAAACTGTAAGACTGTATTTGGTTTAAAAAAAATAATTCTAAATACATTTAAACAAAAAAGAGGCAACCAGAAATATACTGCACTATTTTTCAAGCAGGACATTATTTATCCAAGTCGGTGACTAGAACCATAGATAATACATTCATAGCAATATGGCTGTGGGTAATAATCAATGTATGTGAAAGCCTTGACATTGGCAGAAATTTATAAACTACTGTATGTTGTACTGATAGCATAATTCCACTGCAGCTATTATTGTGTAAAAATTTGAGTTTGTTACTTACCAACAGACTTGGTCCGAGACATGCCATGGTGAAGGGAAATATGAGACTTTTCACCGGGGATATGTGATATTGCATGTGGGGAAATCCCCTGTCTTTCTAGCAGTGACTGTAAGAAAAGCAGACAGCAGGGTGATTGACTAAAAAGTACACAGTATAACATTATTGAAACTAGTTCCAGGTTCTGGTAGCCATACTGCAAATACTGCAAAATCAAAATGCTGTTATAATGAATATAGTGCAAACAATGCACAATTTAAAACGCTCTTATAAAGAACATGCTGCAAACAAACGTAAAATCTAAAAAGCTGTTATAAAGAAAACCTCTTTCTTCACTTTTCCCTATGAACGCATAGTGAATAAGGAATGCATGATGAAAATAAATAAAAAGTGGTATGTTCAATTTCTTACATTTATCTCAGCTGGGGTGATGCGTCTGCTTGTGGGTCGCTGTTTGACTGTAGCAGCTCTGGAGTCAGCCTCGGCAATCTCTGGTCTTAAAGAGGGATCGGAAGCCACCAATATCTCATCGAGTCGCTCTGCAAGAAACCAATAACTGATAGTTGTAGAGCAAATAACTTTATTTCTTCAATACCTAGCATACCTACCAAGCATATATCAATGCATTATTAGTGTTCACTACACTGGGAATGCTGTGCATTACAATGTCTGCATGGGGACCTAGGGTTTTCATTTTATATTATTTAGTTTATTCTGGTTGTTGTTAATATTATTATCATTATTACATGTTACTTGTGTTTCTTATTACTCTACTTGTAACCTTTAACCTTACCATTTACAGTGTGGCCTAGATAGTTAGGATTTATGACTCAATACAAACATATACCATTTTTAACACAATGTACAGTATATAGGGAATATAAGTAACACATTTAAGATCTATCAGATTTATTTTTGACCTTCTTTCCTACTAGTATAATAAAACATTTGTCAAATGGAAGAAATGAAATTATTGGATGAACGGAGTTAGAGAAGACAAACATGTTAATATAGAAACAAAAATAAACTTGAGTGTGATGTTGTAAAAACACCACCTTAAAAGGTTTAAAAAAACAACAAAATTAAAAATGTAAAATGTTCACTGTATCATTGTTATAAAATCTATCTAAGTATATACTTTCTATGTATACATCTCCATGCAACAAATGAATATATATGTCAATGAACAGTTTTATACCTTGCCATTTTTCCTTACCCATCGGATTTCTTTCTATTGAGTGTAATCAAAGCATACATTTGGAAGCATACAGACAACCAGTTCTCTTGTGCACCGCAGGTCTTGCCCTTGGTGTTCCATAATTCATTGAAATGCTAACTAGTGTTCTGCAGACAGTGTTACATGCAAAGTAATTAGCTTCTGTGGCAAATAATAAATTCACATGTTATTCTGTATTTCCTAGCCTTTTATCTATGGTTTATTTATTAAACTGCTCAGAAACATTTTGCCCAGCCATAGTTCATCCACGTTTGCTTCTGACTTACCCAATTCCTCCAGCTCAGCTGTCATGGACTTGGACCGTAGGGTGAGTGTGGTGCTGGGTGCTCTCTTTGGAGGTGGGGGAGCTGGAAGAAAAAGAGAGGTGACCTTACATGTCTTATCCAGCAGGCGGCGAGGATCCGGAAAGAGCCGGCGTTTTTCCACAACCATCTCATCATACTCCCGAGATGAGGGGTCGCACTGCGCCAGCAGCTTCCCAACCCTGCACCGAGATTTCATTCTTGAGGCCTATCACTAAGATCCCTGGCACAGCCATATAGGGTGAAGATTGCACTGTAGCTACTTAAGACATCTTCACTAGCATATATCTGTCTATAGCAACAGATTCTTGTAATGTAGATTCCCTATGTCTCCTGCAGTAGCTGTGGTCTTCAACAGTGCTTACTACTGGCTGCTTTTTTCTCTGCTGTCATTTGTTATCTTTCATCTATTTCTCTCCCTCTCTATTACTCTTTAACTTCTATCTTTCTTAATCCATTCACTCTATCTCTCTCTTTATGGTCATCTTCTCTCGCTGTCTCTCCCTCCCTCTATTCTCGATGCTCTGGGATGCAGTTCTCTGTTCTTGCTGCGTTGCCATGGCAACCCTCGCTTCACGCTTCAGAGGGAGGGAGAGCGAGAGACAGGCTATGCCACAAAGAGACAGTGAGAGCTAAGAGCTCACACTATATAGAGACAAAAAGAATGAGCTATATAGAGATTATACAATTCCTCAGTTGTATGGAGACGCAAAATGTGTTTTACAAAGGCAATTAAAAAAATGGAACTCCAAATATTTTAATCTGCAATCAGAAATGCAACAATGTCAAGAAGCGGAAAGTAAAAATAATACAATATACTTTACAAATTATAAGATACTAAACAAAGGGGAAAAAAAAAATTTTTGCTCTAAATGAGACCAGATAATTTTAGCAGTTGTACTCCTATTGTAAATGACACTGAAAGATATACAGTTACTGATGAGTTATGATTGTACTATATATATATATATATATATATATATATATATACATATATATATATATAATAAGATTTTACCTACAAACTTTAGAAAAAAAAATTCCGTATATGTTTTCAAAATCTGACAAGATTTAACTGATAAAAACTGAAAGTTCAATTTGGCTTTATTGTTCTAGTATTGGATTACTGTGACATCATGCATCTGGGCGGCTAATACATGAAACATTTTTTTAATCAGTTTTTATTTTAAACATAAAAATGTGCAGCATTTGGTCAAACATCCAATACTCAGTTTGTGTTGTGCCACTATTAGTTGACAAGTTATGTTATACTCCCAACAGTTTAAAGCGGGAACTAAACCCTCCAATCGTTTTCAGCCAAGGAAGCTGCCATCTTAGCCTCTGTTTGATCTTCAATTGCCATGATGCTGCACATTTGATCAGTTATGACAACATTTGATGGTTTGACAGTTTGATTGAGAGCACAAGCAAAATGTGACAGTTACATTTTCAGCATGTGCTGGGAATTAACTTTTTTAAACTGTTAAATCAATGGGTTTAGTTCTGCTTTAGGGTTGGCAAACAACCAGAAATGGTGCACTCAATCACAATACCCAATCACAATACAATAACCCCCCAAGGGATTAGTTATTGCAATAACTTAGCACATATGTACATTAGTAATGGAAATATATGTTGAACCAAAACAAAGGAAAAGCTGTGTACATGAGCATCCCAGATGTGTACACAGTAGAACTGTCCAGAATTCAATAAGACCCAGATACAGTGCTCCCTATCCATCAGCCATTGTCCCCAGAGTTTTTCAAACTTTGAATAGGATCCATATTATTCTCCATCAACAGATACATGTTCAATGTTGCTGGTTGGTAGGGGGAAGAGGATATTTCTGACTCATTGGTATGAGCTTCTGAACTGGCATCAGAGCCCTAGGAATAGCCAGGTATGCATTATAATGCATATATATGCATTATAATAGCCAGGAATGCATTACGAACACAGGGGTTTTAGGAACAGGAATATGAAAGATGGACTCTAATTTTGAGGCAACTGAGTGCTAGCATTGTTTAAATTCTGGGCAACACCAAAGCATATGTAAAAGGTCCTCATGGTCTCTTTCCATCTGGGACAAATGGTTATGGAGGCACACCCTATTTTTAAACATGGAGCAGACGTCAAATGTGTTCTCAAAGCTATATAAAGCTGGGGTAATAACTGAGTGAGGTTAAATGAGATTAAAGGAACATTGCTAAGAGCAGGTAATCACTGATCTGCATTATGAGTACCCAGGTCAACAACCCAGTGTTCCCAAGCTTTTGCTGGGTACATTTTGCAATGCCCGAATAGGAATGTAGAGTAACAAGTTGAAATTAATCTATTAGACTGAGTAGTTCTAATGATCACATCAAGGAAGAGTGAATAATTTATATTCCAAGGTCTGGTGTCCCCTTGGGACTGGACAGCATGTCTCAGGTGTAGGAAAAAAAACATGGTATTAAGGAGATGAAATTGGTGCTGTAGTTGCTCAGATGATTTAAATACACTATTAACAATCAAATGTTTACGTTTGGTGACCCTATATCTGGCCCACAGCTCGGAGCTATCCAGTTAAGCAAGTTCTGGAAGACACCGATTGCACATTAAAGTGTTACTAAAAACCCCCACCAGTAAAATCAGTCTGTATATACAGAAAAACATGCTTGTTATACTCACTGTGGAACCTAAGGGGTTAATCCTCTGCATTGTGTAGAAATGCTGTTTAATCCTGAATTCTCTGATCCTTCCCTTCTTACAGTGCCCCCCTCTTATCTCCTATTAAGACATATATGTGGAGTCACTCTGCACATGCTCAGTTTGGTGTATATTGCTAGCAAGTTTTTTTTTTTTTTATTGGAAGAGTGCATGTGATCAGCATAGAACCAATCACCACTGTCCAGACAGAGGTACTGCCTCTTCTTACAGCAGGATGAAAACTCCTCCTACAAGCTTTAACATGTGCTCTGCTGGACACAGATAGAAGTCATAAGACTGTTCTAACTGCTGATGAGAAAAGGTATTTAGCAGTTTATATTTACTAAAACAATTGCATTTCCATGTTCTGTGTACTGTGAGAGATCAGGTATAGTGAATGTATGGTCCTGGGCTTAGTAACACTTTAACTAGTGTAACTAGCAAAGCTACTGGTGGGGGGTTAGCAGCAGCTGCAATGTCAGAAGGATCACCCCAATACATTAAGTGCTGGGCCTGTGCAGCAAGATAGTTAAGCCTAGGATTTGGTAGAGCTATTTCCTTATCAGTTTTCAGATTCTTAGGTTGCTTCCGGCAACTTTTAGGCTGCTTCCGGCAACTTTTAGGTTGCTCCCGGCAACTTTTAGGCTGCTTCTTATTTCAGAGGAAACTCCTGGCATATAGTGTTGACAATTCAAAACAATTTGGTGGGATGTGTGATGGGTGTTTAATGCAAAAAAGATGAAAGGCTGGGGCATAAGAACCACCTTAATAAAGTTTGTCTATCCCAATACAGACAGAGGGAGCATGAACCATGTTGGGGTAAGATTTAGGTTCTCAAATTAATTTAAACAGGAAGCATTTCTAATTGACTTTACTTTGTTTCTGTTACAGCTGCTGTCTTTACAGAACGACTCTAGACTGTCATTTTCACAGTTGAGAATTGCCAGCAAGTGCGAGAGGAGGGAGGGAGTAGACGAGGGCTATGGATGTGCTACACACATGCTGTGTACTTCCATGATGTATTTAGGGTGTCCAGTTTTCACATTTTTAATACGTTTTGTAACAGAAAATATTTAGGGGACATGTATTTGAGCACAGAGAGCAGATATTAGTTTAATATTATCAAAAAAATATATATATATATATATATATATATATACATACATATACATACACACACACACACACATATTTTTATGATAGTCATGAAAATCATATTTCATGATATTCCTTAGTTGAGCATTCAGGGTTTTGGACCACTAAATGCATATGTAGGTTTCTCTAGATGCCTGCATTTTACTTATTCTTCAATTTAAGTATCATGAAGTAAGCTCATGAAAATAATAGACAAAAATTGACATGTATATTCTAGTATGCAATAAAATTAGAGATTTTGCTTACAAATTTCAGTAATTATTTTAAAATGCAGATTTTCACAGTTTTGACTGGCTTCTGTCGACAACTAATTTTCTTCAATACTTGACGATTTTTTTTTCTACCTAATGTACTTTATGCCTAAATCATAAGCCTGCGTGGATTAAGGATCTTCCTTAAAGTATATAGCTACTTTTTTGGCTTTAGATAGAGTAGAAAAAGGTTGAAATCCCTGTCTATATATTTTTCCACTAATACAACAGCGAGAGTAAATCTCTACAAAGTAAAAGAAATCCCTCTCTTAAACCATAACCATGCAGTTTCCCCCGCAGCCTCTTAAATACATACTTGAGCCCAATCTTGGTCCAGTAATCTGCATGAGAGCCGAAGCTCTCTCTCCACTCACTCGCTCCTCATTGGCGCAGATCCAGCAGCAGAAGCCATTGGCCAACTGTGATCCTCCGGAGCTGTGGGGGTGATTCAATCTGCTGGAGCTGTCACAGGCACTTGTCAAAAGTGCTGATTATGCTCGCTCTTTCTTCCCCCCTGCTCCATACATAAAAGCTGTATCAATTTTCACAATGAAAACACTCTATGACTAGAGGAAAGTACCTTTCATTCATCCACCCATTCTTCATTCATTGAGTGCGTTTTACTGTGGGAAGTGATAGTACAGCTTTTATAAATAGAGCTGGAGGGCAAAATGGGTGGGCAGAGTCTCAGCTGTGATGTTTCAGTACTGCACAGGGAGTTATTGGGGTAAGCAGAGGAATAAAGATTTCAATGAACATAGCAGCCACCAGCACACTTATCCATCAATGTAAGAACTGTCCCTGATGCTGAGTAAAATAAAAATATTTAAGCAAACTTGAACTTTAATGACAGATTGCTAATAGAGAAGGACATATTCAAAGAAATGCTCCAAAACCCTGTCCACCACATATGACCCATCCTACTAGACTTTTTTCCCCGTAGGTTGTGAAGCCAGATATACTCACCTAGGTCTCCGTCTTTAAAGTCCCTTGCTGCCACTGTTTCCTGAATCGGGGGACTACAAATTCAGTGGTACAATGAAGCCCAAGATTGCTGGTCCCATTCCCTCCCCTCTGCTGACATCAGTCCACTTTTGGATCCTGA